TTTTGAAGTTGGATGGCAAATTATAAAGATGGATTTTGATGGATTCTATTTCAACTTTATCTGACAAATTGCTGTCTTCATATGGACATGATGGAGGTGGCCATAACTACACTGCATAGCACATGTAAAGTGGAATGTTTTGTGGAAAGCAGCCAATGAGGGAGTTGCATTGTGACTATATGTTGAACCCTTTGTTTACAAAACATCGCAAGCACGTGTAAAATCATTGTAGCATATGCTGGCCCCCCTTTTTTTTAACTGGATTTATACAAATCACAGGAATTGACCCAGGTGATGAAGAAAAACTTAGTAATCTGTGAATCCACAGAAAATTGAGATTTCAGTTATTTACAGTGCACATAATATTCTGAAGTATCTGTACAATTAAAGTTTCAGACAATAACAATGCTCCCAAGATTTCACTGCAAAAATTACGTATGTGTGTCTATAATTTGTATATTATAATATTTCTATTTTTTTTTTCCTTAAACAAAATACTTGACCAATTTTGAAAATAAAGTCTACCATACAACTGTCAGTGTATTATTTGATTTTGCATAAATATTTTTAATTGAATGATCCTGAACATTCTACAAATGTTTTTAGAATTCTATTGTACCACACAAAATATTAGCATCTATGACGAAAATTGTGTATGAGAAGAAGGTTAACGGTGTATATTTCCATAAAGTGATAGTGATCATAACCAAACAACATTTTGAGTAATTATAAAATAAATACTTTAAAAATGATTATTTTCCAATTATGTAAAATCTAAATGGTGATGATTTATACTAGCTCACATACAACACACAAAATAGGGTTTCCCACAATATCAAAACAGTTAGGTGCCTTTCAATTTTAGATCTTTCATTTTCTGGTCTAATGAGAAAAAGAAAAAATTCCCAGAAACATGATGGGGGTAGATCTTGTACTTCTGTTATTATTAGAACAGGAGCATGCTACACAAGCCTGCCCCAAACTGTATCACACAAAAATATATTGAAAAGAATGCAACCGGGGATAACCATAATCTGTTGCAATTATTCACAAGGTAGATATGCATTTCTAATCAGAAATCACAAAGAAAATAGTTTTGCACTATTGCAGCATTTATTTAATTGCTGTCAACTGTTTATTCTCTTAAATCTGAACATTTTTATTTCAATTTCACATATTGATTGCCATAAAAATGTGCTATATCTAATTAATGCTGTTGAATTGGCAATTTTTTTTTACTTAAAGTATCAATTTTATGTGCTAGAACAATTTCTTGTTCTTTTTCAAAACAGTCGCAATGTATGACCTTCAAAACAGTATCTATTTCTATTTGGATTTAGGGTATTCTGTAAATTTGTAAATAATTTATACAAATTTAAATTGTCAGTCAGTTCTGTATTTAGCAGAAAGGTACAACGAAGTGCTCTTCTTCAGAATTTTATTTGACAGGCATGAAATACACAAGTATGAGTAATACCTTGTAACTGGTAACCTTTGAGCAAAACCAGGTGTCGTCGATCTTTAGCATAATTCTTGTTCACAGCAAGTTGCAGATCCCCACCTGCCTAAAAAAAGAAGTATAGAAGCTTTATATTAAAAAACACATTGGCTACTGACCTTCACTTATCAATTAAAATAATAGTATTAGGGATAAATAAGAAAACATTTAAAACATCCATTTATATAAAGTAACCTCAAACATGGTTTGTGTATTTTAACATATTGAAAAACTAATGAAATATCCCGAAAGACAAAGAGTTATATGATGTGATAGTGTGTCAGGATATTAAATATAAATTTGAAAAAATCTTACCTTTTCATATATCTTAAACAGTGCAGGGATTTTTCTTGGTGACAGAATGCTTAAATTAATTTGCCGCTAAAGAAATGAAAAAGTAAAAACAAATTATTTCTTCAAAAATAAACATGTACTGAAATTATAGACGATTTTCAGGAAGGCTTAAATATTACTAAAATAGCTTAATGTCAACTGGCTTTATAATATTAATTAAAGTGTAAAAAGCTAAAATTAATTATCTACAGTTTACTAAGTGAAAAGTAGTATGAGATAGAGTTAATGTACATACAATAATATATTTGAGCAGTGTGTGTGTGTGTGCTGTAAGTTGACAGGGATCAATCAAAATAAAAATTTCTACAAATAACCTTGTACAGTAAGAAACAATTTGGAATCATAAAGGATATCTTAATTATGTTCAATCACTACTATATGGATTATGATAACAATTTACCTCTGACATTACTGATGCAAGTTGGTCTACCATCAGACCAGAATAGGGAGGGTTTTCCAAAGCTGGGAGATGGTATGGAGGAGAGTTGCAGATCAGTATACAATATTTCTGTGTGGTAACCCTAAAAAATATATTTGAAAAAAAAATGTTCTTACACAATACATGAAAAATACATCAGAATACTAAATCCAAAGTAGGATACAGTAGGACTTAAGGCAGATATCAGATTCCCAATGAACTGATATTCGAGTTAGGAAGCAGCAGGCAAATTGATGGAGAACTGAGCAGCTGGTGCAACATAACATTATATAAAGAACGATAATAATTTTTTACAAATCTTTCTTTTATTGCCACTATTTTTCAATGGTTTCCGAGTAAGAAGAACATGGTATCATCAAAACTTCACATTGTGTGAACTACATATCACTGCCAACGAAACCATTTGCTCAATACCAGAGTTTATCAGGTTTGCTGGGAATGAAACACACAAAGCTTCAGTTGAAATGCTATTTATATCAGTTACTTATAATTATCAATAGCATTTCAACAAGGGTTTAGTACGTGAATTTTATAATTTATTTTTGTACATGAAGTATGATACTAATAAAAAGACTTGAACAAGTTAAGCCACATTTTCTCAGATACATTATATTTTTATCACTCTAAGAAAACAAAATAATAGACATTAATAATATGTAAAAAGAACAGTCTCTTACTACATTGTAATAAAAAGCACTTTTAAGTAGAATTTAAAGCTCTCTCTTGGTAACTCACTGTTGAAACCTAAAATACTCTGATATTTTTAGCTAATCACAAAGTGTAGCAAATATATGGTTCTTGAAACTAACATGCACAATCTTGTTAAACAGCTTTATCGGTGGCGGAGGAGAATCTTGTAGTAATGTAGCTGAAGGCTTAAGCACAGCACTACAGGTTTTTGATGATTTTAAAACACTGAGAGATCCAGGGTAAGTTGTTTGTTACAAGATAATTTGAGGTGTTAGCTTAATGAATTTGAAAGTTTAACATATGTATTTAGATGATTATTTGTGTTAAGGCTATTGTAGTTAAAACCTTTTCTGTTCTCAGACTATTTTATATGCTTGGTCTTTAATCATAGTAGTAAAACAGTGCAATAGAGAACATTCAAAATTCATAACTACTAGTGAAAGTACTTTGTTACTTGAAAAAAATACTTCCACACTCCAGTTCTCTAATCCAGGAATGTTAGTTTTATACAAGAAATACAAAATTACAGTTAACAGTAAAAACTTCTCACTTCCCAAATGCTCAAAATGTTTTTAACTGTACAATTTAAATTCATAGAGACCATGGTCATAAATAACTTACGACACTTTATCTAGCCAAGATATGAACTTGGAAGTACTTGGTGTTGGAGAGAAACATGTCGTGGAAGGTTCAGGAGCACAGTCAGCTGCCATAAAAACCACCAAGGTATATAACGTACTGTTGTACTGAAGGAAAGTAAAAATGAAATGTTTAGAATTGTACATTTTCTTTCAGAACTTTTACAAGGAAAAAAAAAGTGTTAAAGTAAATAAAAAATAAGTACTCATCTCAAAACACAGCTTAGATGGGTGTTAAACATGTGGATGAATGCAAAACTGAAATAGGATTCATGACCAATTATAGCAATGAATGAGCCAAAGTGGTTATGCTATTTTTTAATCAGTGTTAAGTGAAACAGTAAAATACATTAAATATATGATCTTATGCAACGTATTTAACATGGCATACACACACACCTAAAGTCAGTGACCTACTGTTTAGAATCTGTAACAATCTACCATCTTGAACTGGTGTTTGTACATCCTTAGAGTACCACAGGAATGACATTTTTGTAGTCCTAACAGTAGATCTGTGTGATTAGTTGTATTCGCTAATTGACTAAATGATGGGGCCCATTAACCGATTACATTTGATTAGTGCAGTGTTCCTCAAGCCATGGCTTGCGTCCCCCATAAATGTCAATTATTTGGCAGAAGGTACTGCCAGCCAGTTGCCTTTCTTTAGTTAGCAGTTCAAAATTAGTGACAGCAGCAAATAGCCTTAGTAGCTTTACCATTACAAAGACAGGGTAAGCGAGTTTAGTGAAAATGGGAATTGATCCCAAGACACATACATGAGTAATGTATAATACTAAAATTTGAATTATAATCTACAGTTTGATACTAAACTTATTAACAAATTCATGAAATAGTAGTTCAATAAATTTTTGAATGCAAGTCAACAAACATGATGACATGGCCTTTTACCCGTGACCCATCTGGAAAGGGTTAAGAAAAGTTAATCTGTTTGATCTTTTTCTTGTTATCATGACTATAGCCACAATGAGGTGTCAACATTTACTGGCTAACTACTATTTAAGTACAACACAGCAGGCTAGTTTTGGCCATTACTATTAAAAACTGCAATATTTTTGTAGTAAATAAGTCTGCTCCAAATGCCCCTGGAACTTTTAGTGTTTTCTTTATTGGCTTTGTTTTATGATATATGACCATGGCAATAATATATCAGATGTCATAGTTCTTTATTTAGTGACAACTTGTGTTGTTAACTTTATAATAAAAAAAGCAGAATTTTAGATATGTTAAATAACATGATTTATTTTCAGATTTTTGCTGTAGTATTGACATACTACAACATCAATATGAATAATCATCAAAATATTTATAGTTAAGGTAAAATCATTAAAGATTACACAAGATCATTTAATGAGTTAGAAAAACTTAAATGAAATTAAATTTTGCTGTCATTCTGGGAAAAAAATCAAATCTTGAAATACATAAAAAAAATAAAAAATTCATGATAATTTACATAATATCACATTTAAAACAACTAAACCATTATAATAAATGTTTGTTATAACACCAGCTATAAACCATAATATATGAAAAAATACTTTATGTGCACGATAAAACACTAGGCACTCATACAGTACTTGAATATATATCAGTTTCTTATATGTTTCCACATTTCTTGACCAATCAGCACCAAAGTTGACATAGTAATACAGGATGACATAACGAAGGTCATAAGGTGGGAGATGGACCCCCCCCCCATCTATTTCACATTGATAGAATTCTTGAAAACATTACGTCTTTCTTTTCAGTATTGGTACCTTTATGTATTTTTATTGCACTTTTAATGTTTATTATGTTAAGAAAAAAAAACAGAAGCACAATTTTGTATCCTTTGTTGCAAACAAGTTTTTATTTCACCCATCCAATGGATGAGTACTCCAGCTAGTATACTATAATCCTGGTCATACACGCACTAACAAAACACTCTGGTTACTTAATGTTTACATAACACAACTAAATTCTAAAGGAAACAAGTTAATCAGATAATAAGTTTTCAATCTTGATACAGCACTAGGGTAAGACAAATAGACATACTAATGAAAATAATACATTACCATCTTGATTCATATGTTTCTGAGAGTAAATTATTTAGCTCTAAGAAGAAATTGTAATGTAACTTCATAAAATACTGTAAAAGCCAAGCCAAATACATATACATAAAAAAATTATAAACCAATATATGAATACAGAACCATATTTTAAAATTTTAACCCTTTTGCTGCAACTGAGACGTATATTTCCCAGTACACTGGGAAGTATATGTCTCAACCGCAGTGAATGGGTTAAAAAACTTCAGTTTTGATGTCAGCTAATTATATCTTATAAAACTAATAAAAAATGCAAAATTTGTCATTCAGTCAAAAATCTTTTACAAAAAGTAAAAAATTCTTTACAACATAATTATCTGTTTATATGAAATTCTATTAAATTTACAGGTAAAGGTTGATTTAGAAATTCTAACACTTAGCACATGTGATACATCTAAATACATAAATGAACTTATAAGATATACACACTAAAAATTTTATAGGTTTGAAAACTAGTAAATTATATTTAGTTCAAGTTAACAAAAACAATTATGACATGAAAAATAAACATGAGGACAATACTGGTCATCATAATGTCTACGTAGGAGCCAAATATTACATACAAAATTATTCATATCGTAAGATGCAAAATTATGATAAGTACTTACATCACATCCACAGTCTCTATCGTCTGAAGGTCCACCATTAAAATGCCTGTCAAACATACATACAGGTTAATGCCTCACACAATAAGCACAGCAGTAAATTTTTCTGAAAGTTCAATAGTAGCTTAAAAGATTAAAAGACCTAATATCCAAATGGTTATCAGGTATTTATTGTGCCACACTGTTGCATTTTTAACAAGTGGTAACTGGCTGTCACAATTAATTATTTTAAATGTTAATTTACTTATCAGAATATTAAATAAATAAATATATATATATATATATATTGCACAAGGAATAATTATAGTAGTTTCAGAATTTTTTTTTTAGCTACATTTCTTAATCAGCAATAAAGTATCAGGATATAGCTTCAAAAATCACATCAAAACTTAGGATCATTATTCTGGAATGGTATTAAATTTATCTTTTGCTCAACAAAGTGAATCATTTTAGAAACAAAAAATCAGACTTGTATTATGTATTGTAACGTATCAATCAACAAAAAGTATTACAAATGAGTTGAGAGTACAAAACATACTCATGGTCTTCTTTTATTCCTGTAAAATATTTTAAATTTTATCTATGTTTATTCTGTTTGATCTCTTAATTAACTTTTTCAAGAAAAATTATTGATTACAACAAAATGTAGTTATAACATCTAATACGTGCTGAACAGTAAGTGCTAAGTAATCTTTTTTTTTAAAAC